TTTCTTCTAACAAGTCAGAATTCCTTTTCAAGTTATTTCCAATATTTGTCATAACTATTTTTTATTTTGTGATACTGAATGCCAACAATTAACATACCCTGGAAATGAAAAGATTTTGACTCAACTGCACCCCTTTGGGTGAAGCTCTGGAACTGCAACAGAAGGAGAGAAACCAGTAACTACACCGAGTGTGGTGTGGGTGTATTCTTAGAAGAATTACTTAATCTACATATAATTTTTCACAATATATGAACACTATATTTACTTCAAGTGTCAACATTTTACTGTATGTATTTATTGTATGTAACTATCTGTTCTGAGAATAAAATTTTACAAAATTTTAATATAAAGCAATTTTAATTTAATTTATGCATATTTGTAGGAAAGACTTGAATGAAAAGATGTGCTTGTGAGCCAAACCACCACATTTATTATTGTTATTATAAAACAATTATATAGTGTTGTTAAGGTATAAGTTGCTCTACAGACCCTATACCAAGTATATTCTGCACACCAAAGATGATAGAGAAAAAAAATACAAACACAAATTCATTTTCACCTTCTCTCCCTGGTGTTATAGCCTGTGTTGATGGTTCCAACGCTTATTGTTGCACATGAGAATTACTCAGTCTCTCTCAGTTCAGGATATTATAACCTGGTCAGATCTACAGAGCAATAAGGAGGGAGTTCTAAGCATGAGGGAAGAAGGCTCAGAGAGGCGAATGGTAGACATCAACACAAGGGATATTAGGGAGAGCAGCAGTACACTTTGTGTATAGACAAGAGACAGTGAAGCAAAAGGAAATGAAAGGTGAGATATATGAAAGGGTGAGATTGTGCGGTCTTGAGGTGAGAACGTGGGCAGAGCCATGAAAAAGAATTAATCAGATAATTTATCCAGCTAATGCCACCAAATTTGCCAAATGATTCACATATTATTCAACTGACTCTAGATGGAAAGTTTGAACTTGATGCAGAAGGCAAAAAGAAATGGAAATAGAAATTAACCATCCACTATTTTGAGCTACAGCCATCAATGATATATATTCTCTATTGGAACATGTACAATACAGTAGATCTGTGTAAGCTTAAGTATCTTCCACAAAGTGATTTTTTTACATTTTTTCCTTAGCTTGATAATGGGTAATTCTAGGTTTTAAAAAATCCCGACTACTCACCATGCATCTATAACTGTGAAATATAACTGGCTGCTCAATCACACCACACATGCTAACCTCATCCCATTCCAGCCAGTGTTTCTATCTTTTTTACTTGCCCGGATCACAAAATTCTGTAGGACTAATTTTATCCCAGGGACATGCTGAGAGGCCAGACTATGGCCTTCAAAACTGGGCAAAAGTATCATAGAAAAGGAAATTATTGTTACCTTGGAGACTAAAATAAATGACCTGGAGAAACAACACAACTGCTGTCTGAATAATATTCTAAGTTAAATTATCTGTAGCGTTAACTAAATGAGCTCTTGAAAGAATTGGACAATTCTGTGAAGAAAGAGAATAAACACTGGCTTTTGATTTGAACTGCCAATGCTGAATATAGTGCCCAGTGATATGTAATTATTTATGGAGACATTTTTACAGCACACAAAAGAGATAAATCCGACCTTTCCCTCATACAATAAAGCCATTTTCAAAAGAGTGAGTTCAGTGGGGAAAAAATTAAGAGATACATTTACTGCTTGCTTTTTAGAAGTTGTATCAGTTGATCAATTGAACTAGAAAGCCACACTGCAGTGTAAGCCCCAAATTCCTCAACGAAGACCTGTAGAACCACTACATTCTATCACAGATTGTTATTAATAAATAACATATAAACAGTACACATACCGTATACAGAACTAGGAACTTCAAACGTCTCTATATTTTATTACATAAGCCACTATTCATTGACTTTGTGTTTTATTTTTCTCTCTCCACATTCTTTACAAATCATCTTGGGCTATTGCTTCTTTTCCTTCTGTGGCATGGGATTGGAACCTTTGTCTCCCTTGTGACACAGCACAGTTACCACCAGTCTGCTAGGCTGGCACTGTCAACACTGGTAAGTATTTCACCTAATCAAAGAATCGATGTTATTTTGTTGGTACTGTGTTTAAGGCATATAAAATAAATAGATACACATAATTTATAATGCTTTTTGACTTGTCTCCATAAATTATCATTTTTAAAAAATACAGACAAAGCCATATGTTTTCCTCCCACCTAAACATTGTAGTGTGGAAGATGGTCTCTAAAAATGAACGAACCTAACAGCATGCAAGCTTGTCTCGAAGCATAATAATCTTTTGCTTAAAGAAACGGCTTCCGCTTATAACAAATGACAGCAAATCAAGACAGCTGATGGCAGTTATACTCAAACAGATATTATTGTACATTAATAATTGTTTTTCTTTCATGTGCAGTATGTAATAGAGCCTAAAGAGGTGATATGGGAGGAAACAAATGATTATCACAGATATGAACATCAAGCTTTTAATCTGGGCCCAGAATTCTTGATGTGACCAGACAGAGCCTGGAAGCTTTTTCACCACCTTTAGAATGATGAAGACTTGCAAGCCCAAGAGGACACATGTGATTGTGGCTACAATGGCAATTAAGAGATAGTTCAGTGCTTTCACACTCTCCTTCTTGAGTTCTTGGTGGAATGTAAAACATTTTTTATTTTCATACTCCCCAGACTTCCCATACCGAGCAATGAACAAGGGCAGCACAATCACAATGGCCGCTATCCACACTGTAGCACTAGCAGCCACAGCGTGTAGCTTCCTGTAGAACTCCAACTTGTCCTTCCATTGAAAGAAAATGAGCCACCGGATAATGAGCGTGATTATGTAGAATAGAAAAGTGAGGTACATATGGATGTGCATCATAGCACTCACTGCTTTACAAAAGCCCTGCCCAAAAATCCACTGCTGATTGATATAATAATAAAGCCGAAACGGCACAGTCAGGAGAAGCAGGCTGTGCAACACCACGAGGTTGACAATCGCCGCCGTGGTCACTGACAGAGTGTTCATTTTAACCAGCAAAAATGACATTGCGATGGCTCCAATTGTACCTCCAATAAATGCTACTGTATATATAGTAATCAATATGTAACGTTCAATGTCAGAATGAAAGTTACTGGACTGAGGTGTAGTAACAGATGCATTCAGCGAGGTTGTAGTCTCTCCAGGCATGGTCCTGTAAATCTCTCTTTTGGACTCTATAAAAGAAGACATCAATGTCATTAAAGATTAAAGTGAGATTTAAAACTGAGAGCTAACTGAGTCTTCAACCTGGTTCTGGCTCCAGGGCATATACTGTCTATGATCCTAGAAATGCTTGGATTGTTTCATTTCTGATATCAGTTACTGCAAAGATTTTCCCCACTACTGAAATGTGCTCTGTTAGGAAATGCAGTTCAGAGTTCCTACTAGTTAGGAAAGAATGGCTGCAAAAGCTGAATTTAAAGACGGAAAAAAACCAAGCATATACGTAGGTTAGAGGGAGAAGCTGATCAAGTTATGAAAATGTTACCAGCCATGTACTTAAAAACAGTTACTAATTAATATTTCAAAACAAAGGTAGGCAAAAAAGATCTGCTGCTTGGCCAAATTATTTGAGTATGATCCTTATGGGGAATGACGGCCGAGGAAGGAGTACTGCAAAAAGGGATTGGGGGGTCATAGTGGACCACAAGCTAAATATGAGTCAACAGTGTAACACTGTTGCAAAAAAGCGAGCATCATTCTGGGATGTATTCGCAGGAGTGCTGTAAGCAAGACACGAGAAGTAATTCTTTCGTTCTACTCCGCGCTGATTAGGCCTCAACTGGAGTATTGTGACCAGTTCTGGTGCCACATTTCAGGAAAAAAGGTGGACAAATTGGAGAAAGTCCAGAGAAGAGCAATAAAAATGATTAAAGGTCTAGAAAACATGACCTATGAGAGAAGATTGAAAAAACTGGGTTTGTTTAGTCTGGAGAAGAGAAGACTGAGAGGGGACATGATAACAGTTTTCACGTACATAAAAGATTGTTACAAGGAGGAGGGAGAAAAATTGTTCTTCTTAACCTCTGAGGATAGGACAATAAGCAATGGGCTTAAATTGCAGCAAGGGAGGTTTAAATTGGACATTCAGAAAAACTTAACTGTCAGGGTGGTTAAGCACTGGAATAAATTGCCTAGGGAGGTTGTGGAATCTCCATCACTGGAAATTTTTAAAAGCAGGTTAGACAAATCCCTGTCAGGGATTGTCTAGATAATACTTAGTCCTGCCATGAGTGCAGAGGACTGGACTAGATGACCTCTCAAGGTCCCTTCCAGTCCTTTGATTCTATGATTCTTATCAGCCCTTTGTGTTAACAGCTCAGATCTTTATTATAGAGGATCTACTTGGTGATCATAAAGAAGACACAAGTCCTTGTTAGAATCCTGCTATTTATTCATTAGAATTAAGTGTGCTGGGAGAGAAGCTGAGCCCTGATTAGGGGGCGGGGCTTCTCTGACTAGGGGTCCTATAAAGGTAGTCAGCCAGGCAGGCAGCTGCAGCGGCACAGGAGCCAGCAAACAGAGCTGTAAACAGGGGAGTTTGAGTGGGAGTTTGCAAGGGGAGTTTGGGGGGAAGACTAAGAGGCAGGCAGAGGAACAGACAGGCTAGTGAAGGGAGTGTGTGGTGGTCTGGCAGTGTTTTGGTGCTCGTTGGGGGTTTGTTTTGCGGTGGGTGGTGGTGTTTTGGTTTGATTTGTGTTTCCCGGACTAACAGGACTTAGGTGGGAAGGCTATGACAGACACAGAGGCAGCAGTGGTAGTGACCCAAGCAGTGGAAGACACAATGAAGATGACTGGATGTGGAAACTGCGGCATGTACATGATCCTGGAGGGAGTACCTGAAAAGAGTTTCATCTGCATGAAGTGCCACCTGATAGAGCTGATGGAAGAAAAGATCTGAGGATTGGAGATGCAGGTGGAAACTCTGATTGAGTTTAGAAGGGGGTTCAAGCAGATGATGGAGCAAAGACATGAAAAGTCTGAAGGGAAAAGCTCAGACTTGCAGATGGAAGCAGGACCAAATAACTCTGAGGGGAGACTGCTGGGTGAGGAAAGTGGACAGTGGAAGCATGTGGCTAAGAGAACCAGGCAGAGGAAAAGACGGACTAGTGAAGGAGAAATAGGGCTCAGGAACAGGTTTGCGGAGTTGGAAAATGAAGAAGGGGCACAGCAGGTGGTTGCTGAAGGTGAGAGGGCAAGGAAGAAGAGAAGAGCAGCTAGTCCTATAGGAAGAGGGGAAAAGTCAATGGAGATAACAGCATCAAATATGAGCCCCAGGAGGATACGTGATGGGTTACGGAGGATTGCAAGGGAGAATAGGAATCGAGAGGACTTGCAGCCAGAGGGAACAGGGGATAGACTGGAGACTCGCACCATCACCAGGAAAAGGCAGGTCTACATGATTGGGGACTCCTTACTGAGAAGAATAGACAGGCCTGTAACCAGAGCTGACCTAGAGAACAGAAGGGTGTGTTGTCTGCCGGGTGCTAAGATATGGGATGCGGACCTGAGGCTGAAGAGGATCCTAATGGGAGAGGGAAAGAATCCGCTGATTGTCCTTCATGTGGGAACAAATGATACGGCTAGATTCTCACTGGAATGTTTCAAGGGACACTATGCCAGACTGGGGAAGACACTTAAGGAATCGAGGCTCAGGTGCTCTTCAGTGGGATTCTGCCTGTTCCTAGAGAAGGGCAACAAAGGTGTGACAAGATTATGATGATCAACAGATGGCTCAGGCAGTGGTGCTATAAGGAGGGCTTTGGGATGTATGGCCACTGGGAGGCATTCATGGACAGAGGACTGTTCTCTCGGGATGGAATTCACCTGAGTAGGGAGGGAAATAGACTTCTAGGATGGAGGCTGGCATAACTGATTAAGAGAGCTTTAAACTAAGAACTGGGGGGAGATGTCCAGGTAATCTCCACCCCAGATTTTAACATTGAGAGGGAAGAAAACGAAGTAAGAAAGGATACAGCCGTGGGTAGGAGAATGGACATAAGGAGGAAGGGTAGTGTAGATACCAGTCTAATAGGTAATACTGGAGGTAGAATGTCTGTGCCTAATCGGGTAAAGAATGTGAGCAAAGCCAAACATCAAAAATTAATATGTTTGTACACTAATGCGAGAAGCCTAGGTAACAAAATGGAGGAACTAGAGTTACTGGTGCAGGAAGTGAAACCAGATATTATAGGGATAACAGAAACATTGTGCAATAGTAGTCATGACTGGAGTACAGGTATTGAGGGGAATGTGCTGCTTAGGAAAGACTGAAATAAAGGCAAAGGTGATGGAGTAGCATTGTATATCAATGATGAGGTAGACTGTAAAGAAATAAGAAGGGATGGAATGGATAACACAGAGTCTGTCTGGGCAAAAATCACATTGGGGAAGAAAGCTACTAGAGCCTCCCCTGGGATAGTGCTTGGGGTGTGCTACAGACCACCATGATCTGATTTGGATATGGATAGAGACCTCTTTAATGTTTTTAATGAAGTAAATAGTAATGGGAATTGTGTGATCATGGGAGACTTTAACTTCCCAGATATAGACTGGAGGAAAAGTGCTAGTAATAATAACAGGGCTCAGATTTTCCTGGATGTGATAGCTGATGGATTCCTTCACCAACTAGTTGCTGAACCAACAAGAGGGGATGCCATTTTAGATTTGGTTTTGGTGAGTAGTGAGGACCTCGTAGAAGAAATGGTTGTAGGGGACAACCTTGGTTCGAGCGATCATGAGCTAATTCAGTTTAAACTAAATGGAAGGAAAACTGTGACTAGGGTTTTTGATTTCAAAAGGGCTAACTTTAAAAAATTAAGTAAATTAGTTAGGGACGTGGATTGGACTGAAGAACTTGTGTATCTAAAGGTGGAGGAGGCCTGGAATTACTTCAAGTCAAAGTTGCAGAACCTATCAGAAGTCTGCATCCCAAGAAAGGGGGAAAAATTCATAGGTAGGAATTGTAGACCAAACTGGATGAGAAAGCACCTCAGAGAAGTGATTAAGAAAAAGCAGAAAGTCTACAAGGAGTGGAAGATGGGAGTGATCAGCAAGGAAAGCTACCTTATTGAGGTCAGAACATGTAGGGATAAAGTGAGAAAGGCCAAAAGCCATGTAGAGTTGGACCTTGCAAAGGGAATTAAAATCAATAGTAAAAGGTTCTATAGCCATATAAAGAAGAAGAAAACAAAGAAAGAAGTGGGACTGCTAAACACTGAGGATGGAGTGGAGGTTAAGGATAATCTAGGCATGGCCCAATATCTAAACAAATACTTTGCTCAGTCTTTAATGAGGCTAATGAGGAGCTTAGGGATAATGGTAGGATGACAAATGGGAATGAGGATATGGAGGTAGATATTACCACATCCAAGGTAGAAGCCAAACTCGAACAGCTTAATGGGACTAAATCGGGGGGGGGGCCCAGATAATCTTCATCCAAGAATATTAAAGGAACTGGCACATGAAATTGAAAGCCCATTAACAAGAATTTTTAATGAATCTGTAAACTCAGGGATTGTACCATATGACTAGAGAATTGCTAATACAGTTCCTATTTTTAAGAAAGGGAAAAAAAGTGATCCGGGTAACTACAGGCCTGTTAGTTTGACATCTGTAGTATGCAAGGTCTTGGAAAAAATTTTGAAGGAGTAAGTAGTTAAGGACATTGAGGTCAATGGTAATTGGGACAAAATACAACATGGTTTTACAAAAGGTAGATCGTGCCAAACCAACCTGATCTCCTTCTTTGAGAGGTAACAGATTTTTTTAGACAAAGGAAATGCAGTGGATCTAATTTACCTCAATTTCAGTAAGGCATTTGATACGGTTCCACATGGGGAATTATTAGCTAAATTGGAAAAGATGGGGATCAATATGAAAATTGAAAGGTGGATAAGGAACTGGTTAAAGGGGAGACTACAATGGATCATACTGAAAGGTGAACTGTCAGGCTGGAAGGAGGTTACTAGTGGAGTTCCTCAGGGATCAGTTTTGAGACAAATCTTATTTAATCTTTTTATTACTGACTTTGGCACAAAAAGTGGGAATGTGCTAATAAAGTTTGCGGATGACACAAAGCTGGGAGTTATTGCCAATACAGAGAAGGACCAGGATATCATGCAGGAAGATCTGGATGACGTTGTAAA